ATATCTTTTTTATTAAATCAAACTAGATGAATTATTTATTAAGGAGGGCTCCTTCGAGAAAGCTATGTGTTGATAATTTTTTTATCAAACGACTAGTTTGGGTATGCGTAATTCAATTATTGCCCTGAATATGTTTTTAAACAAATCAAATTGGATGAAATATTTATTAACATTTAATTAATATTTGACTCTTCCCTTTCATAAAAATCTCAATTAACACTCCAGCACATACGTGTATGTGGAAGGACTCCTTCGATAAAGCTTAGTATTGATAATTTTTTATTGAACGACTAGTTTGGGTATGCACAAAAATAATTCCTTAAATTTTCTTTTAAATAAGTGCTTTGAATATCTTTTTTAAACAAACAAGATGAAATACTTTTTATTTGAATTGATGTAATTTTAAAATGTGTGACTGATCTCCTTCATACAAATCTCAATTAACACTTTCCAGCACTTATGTGTATATGTCGGAGGACTTTATTGACAAAACTGCGTATAAATAATTTTTTATCGAGCGACTAGTTTGGGTAATTGAAAAATAAACTGAAGAAATAAACTCCTCTGTGACCATTGAGTCATTTAATTTCTCTTTCATACAAATCTCAATTAACACTCCAGCACATACGTGTATGTGGAAGGACTCCTTCGATAAAGCTTAGTATTGATAATTTTTTATCGAACAACTAGTTTGGGTATGCGCAAAAATAATTCCTTAAATTTTCTTGTAAATAAGTGCTTTGAATATCTTTTTTAAACAAACAAGATGAAATACTTTTTATTTGAATTGATGTAATTTTAAAATATGTGACTGTTCTCTTTCATACAAATCTCAATTAACAGTCTCCAGCACTTATGTGTATATGTTGGAGGACTTTTTCGACAAAACTGTGTTTTAATAATTTTTTATCGAGCGACTAGTTTGGGTGATTGAAAAATAAATTGAAGAAATAAACTCCTCTGTGACCATTGAGTCATTTGATTTTTATTTGCACGCATATAAATGCTTCTTATCTTAGTAGGAATTTACCTACACTTATATTGCACTGTACAAATTGTAATGCCAATCAAAGGTTAATAAGTCCAATTTTCTTTTACTCTATTTTCTTATATAAAAGATAAGGTTGAAACAAACTCTTTGTAAAATTTATTTTTCTTTTTTAAAAAAAGTTTAGGAAACCAAATTGATGCTCTAAAATAAAGATATTATTGCACTGCAATGCATCTCATTGTGACTGCTTAACGTAGTGTCTACTTAAAACATACATGGTCTATTTTTATTAAATTCAACATTAAAAGAAATACGACTTTTCCTGTTTGACAGATGAGTGAGCAGGTTGAAACTCAATCAAACAAAGCGCCCAACTGCCTTTTACCACAATCAAAGGCGCTTTAATTTCTGTACTGCCTAGCCAGATAGCATTACTTGTTAAGTGAGATAAACTCACAATGCATGCAAGACCAAACTTAACATTGCTAATGAGTGAGTGACTATCTAGTCTTATATAGTATACAAGCCTGTCATTCTTTAGTTTTGCCTGAACATTTGCATAATCGTTTTGTCTACGTTGTTCAAAGGGGCATAATTTGATTATCGAACTTTGTAAGAAACTTACATTATGCAAATTTTGCAACTCAGAATTAGCTGGAAGAGAAAATTGTATTTAAAGGGCAACTTTGGAGGGTGGATGGTGGGGAATGTTTCTAAAGCATTGACTAGTAAAATGTTTGTGCTTGTTGAAAAACAAGTAAAACTGCACCATACTGCACTCTGCTGCAATGCAGTGCAACACATTGTGGTGCCTAGCAAGTTATCCAATCAAAATAAACTTAATCAATTCGTTGAAATACAATTAAGAATATGATTATCAACCTTCTTTTTTTAGTGTTTTGAAAAGAAATTAAGAACAGACTGAATGAAATATTTAATTTAAATTTAACTATTATTATGACTACTTCTCTTTCATGCAAATCAAGGAATACTTTCGAAGGACACTTTCGACAAAGTTTATTTTTCTTATCGAACGACTAGTTTGGGTATGCGCAAAAAAATATTCCTTCAATTTTCTTTTTAATTAGTGCCTTGAATATCTTTTTTATTAAATCAAACTAGATGAATTATTTATTAAGGAGGGCTCCTTCGAGAAAGCTATGTGTTGATAATTTTTTTATCAAACGACTAGTTTGGGTATGCGTAATTCAATTATTGCCCTGAATATGTTTTTAAACAAATCAAATTGGATGAAATATTTATTAACATTTAATTAATATTTGACTCTTCCCTTTCATAAAAATCTCAATTAACACTCCAGCACATACGTGTATGTGGAAGGACTCCTTCGATAAAGCTTAGTATTGATAATTTTTTATCGAACGACTAGTTTGGGTATGCACAAAAATAATTCCTTAAATTTTCTTTTAAATAAGTGCTTTGAATATCTTTTTTAAACAAACAAGATGAAATACTTTTTATTTGAATTGATGTAATTTTAAAATGTGTGACTGATCTCCTTCATACAAATCTCAATTAACACTTTCCAGCACTTATGTGTATATGTCGGAGGACTTTATCGACAAAACTGCGTATAAATAATTTTTTATCGAGCGACTAGTTTGGGTAATTGAAAAATAAACTGAAGAAATAAACTCCTCTGTGACCATTGAGTCATTTAATTTCTCTTTCATACAAATCTCAATTAACACTCCAGCACATACGTGTATGTGGAAGGACTCCTTCGATAAAGCTTAGTATTGATAATTTTTTATCGAACAACTAGTTTGGGTATGCGCAAAAATAATTCCTTAAATTTTCTTGTAAATAAGTGCTTTGAATATCTTTTTTAAACAAACAAGATGAAATACTTTTTATTTGAATTGATGTAATTTTAAAATATGTGACTGTTCTCTTTCATACAAATCTCAATTAACAGTCTCCAGCACTTATGTGTATATGTTGGAGGACTTTTTCGACAAAACTGTGTTTTAATAACTTTTCATCGAGCGACTAGTTTGGGTGATTGAAAAATAAATTGAAGAAATAAACTCCTCTGTGACCATTGAGTCATTTAATTTTTATTTGCACGCATATAAATGCTTCTTATCTTAGTAGGAATTTACCTACACTTATATTGCACTGTACAAATTGTAATGCCAATCAAAGGTTAATAAGTCCAATTTTCTTTTACTCTATTTTCTTATATAAAAGATAAGGTTGAAACAAACTCTTTGTAAAATTTATTTTTCTTTTTTAAAAAAAGTTTAGGAAACCAAATTGATGCTCTAAAATAAAGATATTATTGCACTGCAATGCATCTCATTGTGACTGCTTAACGTAGTGTATACTTAAAACATACATGGTCTATCTTTATTAAATTCAACATTAAAAGAAATACGACTTTTCCTGTTTGACCGATGAGTGAGCAGGTTGAAACTCAATCTAACAAAGCGCCCAATTGCCTTGTAGCACAATCAAAGGCGCTTTAATTTCTGTACTGCCTAGCCAGGTAGCATTACTTGTTAAGTGAGATAAACTCACAATGCATACAAGACCAAACTTAACATTGCTAATGAGTGAGTGACTATCTAGTCTTATATAGTATACAAGCCTGTCATTCTTTAGTTTTGCCTGAACATTTGCATAATCGTTTTGTCTACGTTGTTCAAAGGGGCATAATTTGATTATCGAACTTTGTAAGAAACTTACATTATGCAAATTTTGCAACTCAGAATTAGCTGGAAGAGAAAATTGTATTTAAAGGGCAACTTTGGAGGGTGGATGGTGGGGAATGTTTCTAAAGCATTGACTAGTAAAATGTTTGTGCTTGTTGAAAAACAAGTAAAACTGCACCATACTGCACTCTGCTGCAATGCAGTGCAACACATTGTGGTGCCTAGCAAGTTATCCAATCAAAATAAACTTAATCAATTCGTTGAAATACAATTAAGAATATGATTATCAACCTTCTTTTTTTAGTGTTTTGAAAAGAAATTAAGAACAGACTGAATGAAATATTTAATTTAGATTTAACTATTATTATGACTACTTCTCTTTCATGCAAATCAAGGAATACTTTCGAAGGACACTTTCGACAAAGTTTATTGATAATTTTTCTTATCGAACGACTAGTTTGGGTATGCGCAAAAAAATATTCCTTCAATTTTCTTTTTAATTAGTGCCTTGAATATCTTTTTTATTAAATCAAACTAGATGAAATATTAATTAAGGAGGGCTCCTTTGAGAAAGCTTTTTAGCTCTACTGGTCAGAGACCAGAAGAGCTTATGCAATAGTAATGCGTCCGGCGTCCGTCCGTCTGTCTGTCTGTCTGTCCGTCTGTCTGTAAACAATTTTTCAAAATGCTACTCCTCCTACAGTTTTGGTCTGATTTCAGTATAACTTGGCACACAAGTAGAATACACTAAGATACATAATTCTGTATATCAGTTTTTGATTTCGATGAACGGTGTTGCCGTGGTTACTAAAAATAGAAATATCTGTAAAATTGTTTCAAAATGCTACTCCTCCTACAGTTTTGGTCTGATTTCAATATAACTTGGCACACAAGTAGACTACACTAAAATACATAAATCTGTTTATCGGTTTTTGAGTTCGATGAACGGTGTTGCCATGGTTACTAAAAATAGAAATATCTGTAAAATTGTTTTAAAATGCTACTCCTCCTACAGTTTCGGTATGATTTCAATATAACTTGGCACACAAGTAGACTACACTAAGAACATAAAGAGACTTTATCAACGATCATTATTCTATTTATTGCTGTTGTAAAGTTTCAAATCCCAGCTGCTTAAGTACTTTTCTCTTCCTTTGCTATAAGTTCAAACCAGTAGAGCTTCAGTCTCGACAGAGACTTCTGGTTCTAATTTTTACATTAATTAACAATTTTAATTATTTCATTTTATTTTTTTTATTTTCATACATGTATTTGTCCAACCATGCATTGTCATATTCTCGACTTATTAGAACCAAAATGTTTTTATACAGAGCTGCAGAGTAAACAAATTAAAGACAGAATTTCTGGACATAGGAATTCAGAATGGTGCTTCCTTCGGCCATTTTGATAATGGAAACTTGTCACTCACCTACAAGTCACAGGACGGAAAAAGGTTCGTAGAAACAGGAAACTGCGTGGTAAACGTTAATATTCAGTAATTTCATGTAGGGTATTTCTTAACTTGGCACTAAATGGGCCCAATTTTTTTTTTTGGGGGGGGGGGGGGGGCTGCCATTGTGGATGTTGCAATATATGAATATGAGACAGTTTTAACCCAAGAGATCTGAATCCAGGTGTGAAAAAGCAAGAAATCTTAAATTGAACGTTGAGTCTATAATCAAATGCTAATAAATTACATGTACAAACAACTAAAATGAAAATATAAAAAATAATAAGATTGCGAAAAACGAGTTAATTTTGTATGGCCCTGCCATGGATATGACTTGCATGGGTTTATAGTGTTTGTCAAGTCCGTCTTGCATCTTTATGTCCTTTTGTCAAAGTTTGCGTCTTGCCCAGTTTGAAAAAAAAAGTAATGAATATATTCAAGATGGTTCTTTAAAATCTTATTTCATATGCCGATACATATTGAAGAAACTCCTACATGTACATTGTCGCGCGCGTGGCGCAGTGGTTGGAACTTCTGCTCTAGGGTCGTGAAGTAAGGAATTGATCTTACGTCGCGGGTTCGAATGCCCCTGTGGGACGCGGAGACCGGTCCTTCGGATGAGACCGTATAAACCGAGGTCCCGTGTTGCAGTAGGCGCTAGCATGAAAAGGACCCTTCACTGCTCAATGGCCCTTAGTGCCGAGTATAGGACAAAATTTGTAGCTCTCCATCGGCAAGTGGTAGCGTCTCCATATGAGTGAAAAATTCTCGACAGGGACGTTCAACAACATACAATCAATCAACCTACATGTACAAGTAAGAGTCTCGGTTTACGTCCGTACGCTCCTTACAATGTATAAATATACCTCGGCGACAAGTCAAAGGTATCTCGCTGTGAATCTCTAGCATATGCTGGATTGATTGATTGATAGCGTATTGTTTAACGTCCCTCTCGAGATTTTTTCACTCATATGGAGACGCCACCACTTGCCGGAGAGCTGCAAATGTGTCCTATACTCGGCACTCAGAGCCATTGAGCAGGGAGGGATCTTTTTCGTGCCAGCACCTACTGCGACACAAGACCTCGGTTTACACGGTTTCATCCGAAGGACTGATCTCCACGTCCCACAGCTGGATTCGAACCCGAGCATATGCTGGAGTAATACTAATACTGAAGAGAGTTATTTCTCAGCAGGGACCTATATATTACACTAGTATAAAGGTCCCTGATCTAATCCAAAATTTATTTCATAAATTTGACACCCCCTTGACTTTGACCTCACTTGTTTTAAATTTATTTAGTGTTTGGCTCAATTTTAACTTTGATCTCATCTTCACTTTTCTTAAATTTCTGCGTAGCTTTGTTTAAAAGGAATTATTCAAGATATTTTTTATCAATTATACTTAATATACTGATGAGAATTATTCAGATTACTAGCATCAACATTCTTGACCATGACTTCAAATTTGTGTTTAGCTTAATTTCAAAGAAAGAATTCGAGATATTCAAGATTATCAAACTTCATACCTTCAAAAATATAAATGTAAATAAATATGTTTCATATAAATATTAATGAGAGCTACTGTATATTCAATTGCAGTAACATTTTCATCACCTTTCATTGACATTTCCTTTGACCTCACTTAAAATGCTGAAAGCTCGGGTGAATTAGTTTGTCCAGCGTCAGGCGTCCGTCTCTAAATTTTCACATCTTCAACGTCTTCGAAGGAACCATTTCAACTAATTTTAACTAAATATTGAAGCAAACTTGAGTAAAGGGGAATCTACAATTGAATTGTTAAAACGAAGGAACCAGCATCCTCCCAAGGGGAGATAATATAGAAGAGAGAAAAACTTTGGGGTCATTAAAGATCTTCTAAGGATCTGAAACTTTGTGGAAGCATCCTGAGGCAGTGTTAATTTTATGTTATTCAACTCATGTCCCCGGGGGTAGAGTGGGGCCACAATTTAGGGAATTAAAGTATATACTAGTAGATGATTTATAGATAGGATAAACAGATCTTTGTGTGACCGAATAAGTTTCTTTGAATAAAATATACATTTAGAAAAAAAAGTATTTAAGCTAGTGTTAGCAAGTTCCAAAAACGCTCGACCACTCCCTAAAAGGTCCACTTCCCTGCAAGCACGAACACACGAGACGCGCTGATATCTAATTGGCTAATAATTGAAGAAGCTTACTGGAGTTGAATTTTTCGAAGAATTTCTTATGAAAATTAAGTGTAGATTCAATAAGTAAAAGAACCTGCCTTATTAAAATGAAGTTTGTTGGAAATAGGAGCATAAAGGAGCGTTTTGTGGAACGTTTGTAACGATTCGCGTAACTACAACACATTACATCCAGCACTTTCCATATAACTTGTATTATTTACGTGGTTTTGTGGTTCAGCCTCCATTCACGTCAGGAAATTTAGATTTCTAACATGAAATATTTGTTTGTCTTCCTACTGGTTCGTGCTCTTTGGCCACAGCTTCCTCTTTATAATTGACCAAATAAGGTAAAATATACCACTAACTTGCCGAGCCTGAATATCTCGTTTATTTTAAATCGTTCGTTACATTAATGTCTGAAACTAAACTTATGAAAATATACATTCAGAAATATATTTATACATACTGTTCACTCTACAGAACTACAATTGTGTCACTCTACTGTAATGAGGAACAAGAAGACAGCACTCTCCGGGCCGTGGGAGATATGGGCTCCTTCTTTGTAAGTAAAGATTTATATTAGACTTCCTGTTGGCAAGATCCAGAAATAGGATTTAATATGAAGTAAATAGAATGTTCTTAACATTTTTCTTGGAATAACAGATGTTCCAGAATTAATATTGCTAACACATTTGCTCACTTCTGTCAAGCAGCGATTAAAATATTTCAGTGGTTGCAGTTACGAAGTAAGTATTGTTGCCCTAGAAAGAGGGAGGAAATTCCGAATTTTTCTAGACTTGGTCATTTATTAAATCTGATAAAATATAGAACAGAAAAACCCCATCCACCCACAATTCCAACTCCAAGTGTCGTCACAGTGACGTCACAACCGGCACCGGATCTTCACCAGATAACCTTTCTTCTTACAGGAATCTTGTAAGTACACATCTTTTTATTTCTGGGGAATCCGGATTATAAGTCTATTCTGATATATTCTAACTAGTTTCTATTGAAATTTACCATGGGATACTTTTGTTTAAATATATATTAAATTCTGTGATTAAATTGTTTCTAAATGAAATTAAGCTTTCCAAAATGTTATTGAAGCAACTATGAATTGCACTTATTTACTGACTGTTCGGAAGATTCGTATGCAATTTATAATAATTTTACTTTTCCCCCCTAGAATTGTGTCCTTCCTCATACTGTTGATACTAGTGAGTGGACTGTTTTGGAAATGTATAAGAAGAAATCCTTACGCCCCGTACTCACTACTTCCAAGCGATGACTTTGTGGAAAATAAAAGGCAAACGTATTGATAAACAAATTCTTCGTTCTGTGATATTCTGCATTCTTGACTATAGTCGTGCACTTATTGAATTTTTAAATAAAAATCAGTAAACAACACTAGTTTCCTCGAATTCAAGTAACAAGATGTGTCCAGAGGTGTAGCAAAGGAGGACTTCCTGCAGAGACTGTTTATAAATCTTACGTTTAGAAAGCTATTTTGTGCAAACAGGTGGAACGATAGTGATTCACTTCAGACTCTGTATTTACAATCGCATAGGGTGGATGTGACCAGTCGGCAGGGGATGCTCTCTCCTCCATGGCACCTGATCCCACCTCTGATGTTTTGGAGGTCGTTGTTTGCTCTGCTCCTATTTTTGTATTGTTTTATGGATTTTTTTTTACATTGAATACTGTTCGTTATCTCCAGGCAATATATTAAATTCCCTTAACATACAAATCAACAGTATAATAATTTAAGTTTAAAAACTACAGAAATATACACCATAAAATAATTTTTTTTTTGTTAAGAGGGTTATTTTTCAAAAAAGATAAAATTATGAAGCCAAATATTAATTATTATAAATCAACCACATGTACATCAACTATTAATTTCAAGGTCGGTAACATAGTAAGCTGGCAGTATTGAACACATCCTATCTTTGTTAATATGACACAAGTCAAATTAGAGAAAGCCGGACTCGTGTCAGTTGGTGATAATCTGCAGCACTTGAGGTTTTCTTCACAGTTAGTCTAAAATTGTCATTGAATATTAATTTTCAAAACTTTTGAAAAAGGGGGTAAAGAAGAGGAGATATTGGGGTTTTCATAAAGTAAAATCCTCACAAATCATACTTTACATTTCAAACATATATATTTATTATACAATACAATTATCATACAATACAATACAATGCATATTCATACGTTCACAATATACTCCTACATGTAATTGAACAGATAACATCGTTAATGGTTTTTCCTTTTCCTTTATGACAACAATACGTAAATTATCTTCTGGTGGATAACATTAAGTTTCTATACCAGATATACTAATCATCAGACATCATTATTATAAGTATAACAAATAAAAACGGAGTAAAAATATTTCATTTTCTCCACATTGTATAATGTAATATTCCATCAAAATTGTGGGCGGTGCCAATCTCAACCTGAAACCTTGGAAGTCTGAATTTCTATTAAAATCGAAATGACATTTAGTTAAATAAAACCGTCCGGTTTTTTTTTCAAGTTAGGTCAACTGGCCAGAGATACTGGTATTTTTTCAGAAGAATTGAGGACAAATTCTAAACAGCATAAACTTATTTATCAAACATTAGCAAATTATTTTTGTTACAGTTCTCTGATAAACTGACGGGCAGACAGAGAAATATCTGGTAAAATTATCCCTTCTTACCGCTATGTTCAGTATGGGGCGCAAAATACGAGAGTAAAATTCATTTGATAATCCATGTTGGACGAGATTGTAAATATTTTAATGATTACAATGATTTACAAACAACAAATACAAAAACACACACAAACAAACAAAATGAATCATTCTTAATTGAGGCCTTGGCAAAGGGCATTTAAATAAAGGAATTACAATAGGACGAATTCTAAAAGGCTTACATCAAATGTTTGATGTATCAAAATACAACTAATATTTCACTTACATCGAAGGAGAAACATATAGCATCATAGGAATTGGTCAAAATAGGGGAAAACACGAAGACTATACAAACATTATCATAATAATGTGGTGTATGGAGTGAATACAGAAAAAAAATTTAGCACAACGTACCTAAGATACAACGCTAGATCTGTTGTAAGATCTTGTGCAATTAATTTCCTTCAGCCAAGATTCTCAGCCTCAGAAGCGGTCGATATTTTTGTGATTGAAAAAGGAAATGTACACTGCATGAGAAAATAAAACCTTTTTTTCATAGGATTGGTAAAGAAAAATCATAAATATGATTTTTCTAGAAATGCTCTCTAAAATTGGAGTGTATATGGTATAAAAAAAAAATCCAAATTAATTTAGTACATTCTGTTGAAAAAGATATTATATCTGCCAAAAAGTGTTGCAAAAATCCAGCAAACCTATGACAACGTTAAAAAAAAGACAGAAAAAAGTATCAATACCAATCTTATTAGAATCAGTTCCTTTGATCCGCCCACATAGACCGCTACCTTGTGTAGTAATCTATGTGAGCGGATCAAAGTATCAGATTTTAATCAGATTGGCATTAATACTATCACCAAAATTCATTTCAAAATCTTTTGAGGTTTTCCTGACATACACTGTTAAGGAAGCTCTAAACACTACATGTAACACTCATATGTGTTTGGGACTTGGAGAAAATATATCACTGATATAAACGTGTGTGTATTGAGACTATTTAATTCATTTTTAAAATAGGGTACCTGCCTTAATTCTGCATAAAAATGTTCGAAGACAATGGACTACAGGTATAAGTATACGTGAATAGAAACACAGTTTTTTGACGTCAAATGGGAAAATTAATGGAAATAATGAATTCAATTACTTATTCTTGGTCTCATATAATGCTTAGCGTAATATAGTCTATTACAAATTGTGTAATAAAATGTAAATAACCATTTTTTTCTATCTCAATACTAAGGCCAGATAACTCTTACAACATAAAACTATCCTACAATTAGAACTCTTTAGTGTGCAGTGTTTAGACCTTCCTTAAAAGGCATCATTGACTAAATTTGGGATATATTACGAACAGACAGCAATCATTTCATCTCTTTTGTCAAAGAAAATGTTATCAGCGTTTTCACTGAGAGTTTGAATGCATTTTTTAGTTAATCAGTGCTGTATGACTGGTGTAATCCTTATGAAATGCGATGCCATGTAGAGTTGTGACACAAGTCTCGAGCTCCTTACTTAAATTAGCCGGTGATAGATTTGCTTAAAAAAGAAACTTTTTCTCCATGGTATATGTTATTGATGTAATGACAATACTGATATATCATAATCATTCTTTAAACAAAAATATCCATTACTGTAGAGGGAAGGGGGTTTCGACATAATATCAGAAACTCTGCCTCAGTCAAACCATAGAAACTTTTTAGAATATTTTAAAAATCTTGGATTAATTGTAACAAAGGCGGATCCAGGGCCGGCGCGCTGGGCGTGCCCCCCCCCCCCCCCCCCCGGTTTACAAAATTTTGTATATAAAACTTAATTGTATGTCCATTATCCTAAAATCAAGGAAAAATATCTCTTATTTGTAAGAAATTGTCAGCTTCCAGGGGCGTCGCCCTCGCACCCCCAAAAAGGACTTTGTCATAGACCAACTGGGGGCTTCAGAACAGCCACCAGACCCTTGCCTTCTACTGCGCCCCCCCTCCCCCCTTAACAGTCTTTCGAATATTAAATTTCGTAATTATATTATATTCGGTATGTATAATTGATAGACTTCTCATAGCTTGAACGACGTTACTCGGCATCTACAGCGGTTGTCGCTTTTTCCGTTTCCAGTGACCCTGTCGAATCGCTGTCCGACAAGTTCTCTCCCTTTGTTTTCCAAAGCTTAAATATCTGAGAAGAGCAACAAACTGCAAGGAAAATGGTACATCCCTGGGTCGATACAATTAAATCAACAACGAAGGAGTAAGTCGAAGTGTTTATAAACCATTCAGATATTTGAAGAAAGATGATAACACTGGCAATGATGGCTATTCTGAAAAGCAAGAAAAATTCCGTTCTCTTTCTTTTTAAATTTATTTTCTCTCTTGAGGAAATTATTATTTTGAACGTAGCAAAGTAGAGAAAAAGCGTCAGAAGAGTAGAAATTGCCAAAGGAGAAAGAAACGTAACTATATTCGAGATTTCATGAGTCAAGAAACATTTCTCAGAGTCATATTGAATATCAGTTGAAAAAATATACAACAGTACACTGTTGACACCAACAACTAACAAAGGAAGCAAAAAATTTAAAATAACGTGGAAAAGTACTGGTGAACGTTCTGTTGAGTCCGAGGATAAGTCATTTTTCGGTTCATAATTTTTAAAAAGTAAAAACTGATGAAATGCTGCTACAGAAAGTGAACAACAAACGGACAACCAGAGGTAATGAAGAATAAGGCCAAGAACTATGCATGCTTCTTGTACGTGCTCGAGGAGTTTTACCATAGAGTTCATTAAATGAAACAGAGACATGGATAGAGAAACAAACATAGCATTGATACCAGAAGGGGTTCGCAAATTACTAAAAATGCAATAAGTCAAGAAAATAGAAGCCATGCTGATCGTACTGACGCCATGAAACACAGTAGATAAGTAATGTATATCCACAAAGGTTGCGACCAGTTTATCACTAGCGGTACTATGATATCGCGAGCCATAGTCACATACCCCTACAAAACCTGCAAAATCTAAGACGAAATCGCCCATTTCGAAACCGAGCAAGGTTTCATTCGATGTTATACGTAAGTTTTCATAATCAAAGTTAAATACACTCACATTGTATTTTCGATGGACACAAAAAAGTAAGTTTCCTACAAACAGAACTGTCAAAGGGGGTCCCGCAAACAAAGATTGCATTCGATTTTTAAATCTATTGTAAGAAACTGTATCCGACATGCTATTATCGAGACTTCGTTTTGGAAATGAAAATCCCAAGCCTTTGATATGATACTCCACATTTTCATTTTCAATTGTGCTCTGTTGATTGATCTCGTATGGAAGTTTTAAAAGCATTTTTTCTACCAATTCTCTGTCATATAAAAAATATGGTACCTCAAAATAAATATCCATATTGAATTGCTCACTTGGTATGGGACTACCGGCTTCCAATTCGAGGTTCTTGTCAGGCAAAACAGAAAAATATCCTATTAATCCAGGGTTGCCAGGTAATAGGTTTCTTATTTCTAATTTTAATGCTCTTTCTATCTTTTGAAAAACAATGGTTGCATTTGCAATGGAGGTGTTGACCGTTATTTTTGTAGAGATATCAACTGCATATGACCCAATCCCTTCTATTATTATCAACTCGCA